TTATTTTTCCACAAATTCGGACGTTTCTGGCGGATTGCTTCGCGCAAATTGCGTATAACTTGCAGGTAATATTCCTTATTTACTGTTCTACCCTGTGGCAAGAACTCATGATGCACCACGCCCCTGCAGTCAAAGAAAACTGTAAGCAAAACCTTTACATTTGATCGAACTTGGCGTGCTTTTTTTGGTCTTGGTGATCCAGAATGCCTCCACTGGGATGATTGAGTCTTAGTCTCGACGTCATAACCGTATACCCATGTTTCGTCACCTGTTATAACCCTGTTGAGTAAATCTGGATCATCGTTGACGTCATTCAGTAGCTCTTGGGCGATGCTCATGCGACGTTTCTTTTGATCGAAATTGAGCAATTTCGGAACAAACTTCGCTGACACACGTCTCATGTCTAAAACACTCGTCAAAATTGATTGGCACGAACCAAATGAGATGCCAATATCATCAGCAATTTCTCTAATGATAATTCGACGATTTCCCAACACTATTTTCTTCACTTCTTCAACATTCTCATCAGTTGTTGATGTGCTGGGGCGTCCAGAACGAGGTTCGTCGTCGGTGTCTTCTAGGCCTTCTTGGAAGAGTTTATACCACTTGTAAACATTTTTTTGGCTTAAAGTAGACTCACCGTATGCCACTTTCAGCATTTCAAGTGTTTTGGAACATTTGATTCCATTTTTCACACAAAATTTAATGCAAACTCTTTGATCCATGTTTTTAGACAGCAGCAAATCGTGGAGCACGCAAAACACTTCTAACCTTGATGCCTCTCACAAACAAACCAAACATACTACAAAGCTGAAATTTGGAACGTATGTTCTAGACGAGTGTACCGACATAACCAAATAAAAAAGTCGAAGATCGAACGGATTTAGCCCACTAAATTTCAACATTCACCTTACTTTTTGATCACACCTCGTATTTAATCTACACCCATGATCTTCCAACAATGGAAAATATTAATATCGTCACCTATGCAGACGACACAGCTATATTAGCAACTAAGTTAAATGTAAGCAACTTAATCAACAACTCAAAAATACTACTAGCTATTGGACAGAAATTCTGAATTGTCAATTATATATAAGCTATTAATATACAAGAGCATATTTTAACCAGCATAGACATATGATATTCATCTTGGGGTACAGCAGAAAAATAGAACAATGATACCATTGAAAAATTTCAAAATAAAGACTTAAGATCTATCACAAATACACCATGGTTTGATACAACTGAAATAATCAGAAAGGACGTCATTATATGGATTATAAAAGAAGAAACAGAAATTGCTTGTAAAAGATACACTATACGATATAACGAGCTGAGTCTCGTTGTGTCTCTCTCTCCCCTTAAGCCAATCATAATTTATTAACAACTTATGTATTTTTTTCTTATGTAATTTTCCTGTCTAGCTGCAGCTGTGGATGCGGCACGAGGTAAGTAAGAGAGCACCGAGCAGAGAGAGAGATCCGCGTGTATGCGTGAGTGCGTGGACGTTCGAGTGTCGCGCACGTTTGCCTAATTGGCTGAGACGCGCCGCTGCCGAATAGCCAGTGGGAGAGAGGGGGACCCCTTCCGCGTGCGAGGGACAATCCGCTGCCCACCTTCGCGACGAAAGCAAGCCCGGCTATCGCCGAGTGACGAATAAGTACCTTGTGCTACGCAGCTAGTATTTTCGCCAAGAAGGACCGAGAGTGCAAAGTGCGTGCGAGTGGGTGAAAGACTAAGACATCAAGAGCATTCTGCGTGCGTGCGTGCGTGCGTGCAGATAATCGCCGACCAGCCTGAGAGAGCTGCCTCGGGGCCGAACACCTGCGCGTGTCAGGAGTAAATCCGAGGCTACTGCGAAACCTTCATGTAAGTGCCCGCTCGATCATAAGACTCTCTCTCGCTTGCTTCTTACTTGCCTCTCTCACTACGAATGCTACTTGTATGCTTCCATTGTTACCTTCGTTTTAGTAAACACTATTTCTGCTAATCACTGTGTCTTTCCTCTCGGCATTTCCCTCTCCCGTGTTACGCGCGCGCTGGCTCGCACCGCCCGCTACTACCTGACCTACGACGCTCTCCGCGGGCCGAAGGCAAGGATGCCTTCAAGGGGCATAGCTGAGCCACTGGGCTGAGTCCTGCGAGATCCCCATAACCAGTTACCCGCAAGTCGAGTAGCTACCTAGCATCACCCTTCACGGGGTAGTCAGAATCCCGTTACAACGATTAACAAAACATCCTTATGGTTTAGCGAAGAAATTAATCCACACAACACCAGGAATATCAAGATTTAAGAAATATAAATTACCATTTATAGATGTGTAATTAAGCTTTGTAAAATAAAAGTATTAGTACGGATCAATGGTGAAGTATCTTCATATAATGTAGTTTCTGTAATAAAAAAATAGTATTGTTATAATATCATTTACTTATCATCGACAGACAGATTGTAAATAAAATTGGAAATAAAAAAAAATTAGGTTATGATTATAAGTTTCAATTTCATTTTTTTAATTCATCAATATTTACTGAAGAATGCATTTTTTTTTTGTGATTCATGCAAAATTATAAAAAGTCAGTATTTTTATTCTCTAATTTGTTTATTATTGGCGTAAACAGTTCTGGATTTTCTATCTGTATTTTTATTTCATTATTTTATAGTACTTTAATAGTATATTCGTTTTTAGCAATATGATCAGAAGATTTTTTAATGGACTAATATTTAATACTGCACTTGCGAATATCAACGATAATTTTGGTAATTTAGATATTATCGATGCTGTGGAATTTTTTTATCATTTGTGTTTTCGTTGCCTTGCTTTTCTATCAAAACTTCAAACTAATTTTTCGTTTCTATTATAAAGCCAATAGCCTCGAATTATGAAGCCAGTAGCCTTCGATGAGGGTTTATTTATTCTTAATAAATCTGTGTTCTTTAAAGCTGTTTCTATATCTCTTATTTTATACTGTTTTTCTTCCTGCTTTTTTCTCGTTTGTACCGATTTTTTTGATTGTTTTAAGAATATGATAACCTGGCAAAAAGATAACCTAAAACATTAATAATCTCTACGAGGTATGTTCAAAAAGTAAAGTGACTTTTCAAATTTCACGGGCAACGTACTTTCGATTATCGATTTTTTTGTTTTGTTATGTTGATACACTCTTCCCGAATACCTGTACCAAGTTTCAAGTGTATTGCATTTTTTGTTTGGTTGTGAGAGGCGTAAAGGTTATAAGTGTTTTGCGTGCTCGGCGATTTCTTGCTATCGAAAAATATGGACCAAAGGATTTGCATCAAATTTTGTGTAAAAAATAAAATAAAGTGCTCCGAAACACTTGAAATGTTGACGGTGGCATACGGTGAAACTGTTCTGAGTAAAAAAAATGTTTACAAGTGGTACAAACTCTTCCAAGATAGCCGGGAAGATGCCAATGACGAGCCTCGCTCTGGACGCCCAAGCACGTTAACAACTGATGAAAACGTTCAAGCAGTGAAGAAAATTGTTCTGGAAAATCGTCGAATCACTATCAGAGAAGTTGCTGAGGATGTTGGTATATCGCTTGACTTGTGCCATGAAATTTTTTCTAACGTTTTGGGCATGAGACGTGTGTCAGCGAAGTTTGTTCCGAAATTGCTAAATTTTGACCAAAAGAACCGTCGCATGAGCATCGCTCAAGAACTGTTGAATGACGTCAACGACGACCCACATTTACTCAAAAGGGTCATAACTGGTGACGAATCATGGGTATATGGTTATGATATCGAAACCAAAGTTCAATGGTCCCAATGGAAGAGCCCAGATGAGCCAAGACCGAAAAAAGCATGCCAAGATCGATCAAATGTCAAAGTTTTGCTCACTGTTTTCTTCGATTACCATGGCGTGGTGCATCAGGAGTTCTTACCATATGGACGTACGGTCAATAAACAGTATTATCTTGAAGTTATGCGCCGTTTGCGAGAAGCATTACGAAGAAAACGCCCAGAATTGTGGAAAAACAATTCATGGCTTTTACATCACGATAATGCCCCTGCTCACTCATCTTTGCTTGTGAGAGATTGTTTAGTCAAAAACAACACCACAATCATGCCTCAGCCACCATATTCACCGGATTTGGCCTCATGTGACTTTTTCTTGTTCCCAAAACTAAAGAGACCTATGAAAGGACGGAGATTTGCAACGATTAAAGAGATAAAGACTGCATCGCTGGAAGAGGTCAAGGCTATAACGAAAAGTGCTTATGAGAAGTGCTTTGAGGATTGGAAAAATCGTTGGCATAAGTGTATTGTATCGAAGGGGGAGTACTTTGAAGGGGACAACATAAATATGGATAAATAAATAAATATTTTTTCTTAAAAATACAAAGTCACCTTACTTTTTGAACACACCTCGTATATACACGAGAAGTTGACCTAAGTATACATTAACATTCTAATCCCATGATAGGTTAACCCAAGAAAATAATAATGTATTAAACCCACGATAGATTAACTATAGTATACAATAACTTCACTACAGGCCCGTCGAGCCCTCAATAACCGCTGTTCTAGATAGATTTTTACAAGTAAATATTTTGTATACTTGTGTAGAAAATAAGGAAAAAGGGGATTTCATTTTCTTTTGCGGCTTCGTAATTTTAGAAAAAATGTACACGGATTTTTGGAATAAAAATATAAAAAATTTATTATAGAAGTACGTTTGTCTTAGTCAATAAGATATTCAAATAATTGTTTTAAAAACATATATCACATAAAGTCTATCATATAAAATATGGTAGATTTATTACTTTTCTATAACGTTATTGGGCAGATTTGATTATCTAGTCGTGATAGTCCCTTTACACATTTAAAAAATTAAATTTAATATCAAAAGTATTGAATTTGTCTCCATCAATCTAATTTAGTTCGTGTACATAAAGTAAAACGTACGGAAATATGATCTTTTATTAGTTTTGTGGCTCCTGAATTTATTTCATCAATTTCAATATTTTCATTACAGGTTTTAGAATTGATTGGAAAAGAAGATATAAAATTAAGTAAAAAACAAGTTGACGAAATAATCGAATTGATGGAAAAAGAGGAAGTTTTACTCATAGAAAATCAAATTCAAAAAGCTTTGAATAAAGAAAATAAGGATAATGTTGAAGAAGAGCTTGAAGTTATTTATCAAACACAAAAAGACTCGTTAGGATTCGTTGGCACTACAATGACGGAAGAAATTTGTACAGATCAAAAACAATCGCTAAACAATAATAATGAAAAAAAAATCCTCAAAGCTTCATTACAAGAAACTATTACATCAGGTAGTTCAAGACATTCGACTGATAATTCAACGGATCGACATAACTCATCAATATCTCCTAAATCCACATCCACATCGAAAAAAGCAGAAGGTTCTAATCATCTATGACAAATCTAGAAAAATCTATGCAAAGAATTTCTTTCTAATGATAAAGATTATAGCGTTGGTTGTTATAACGAAGATGAACAATCTTTTATTTACAGCATCGAATATTTTTGCAGAATGTACATATTCAGTTATTACAATTATTATTATATATTTAAAATTTATATATTATATTAAATAATTGTAAATTGAGAAAAACCTGACAAACAAAATAATGAAATTTCGAAATGCTTGTAATTATTAATCAGTCTTGCGTAGATTTACTTGCTATACATTAGAAGGGTAAAATTAATCGTTAATAATAATGAGAATTTTACTAAAAAAATACAAACTTGTATACAAACTGATCTCCAAAGGTGAATTTCTTCTAATAATTTTAATAGTTGTTATCCCCGTTTGTCAATACTATTGTCATACTTTCTTCAACGGTTATATTATGCACTCTCAATCGTTATAAGCCATTTGGATATAATGTGTTCTGACGTTAAAAATACGAATGATCATATAATATGCAAATAGCGCGCGCGCGTGTGTGTGTATTTATTCATATTTTTAACATTTAAGTCTACTTAAGATAAATGTAAGATCATTGGTAAATTTCAAATTCATTGTGTAAAAGCTATAAATCTATAGAAAATTGCCTTGCATATTTGCATCTTGAGCATATGTGGCACATTCTAGATTATGACGATCAGCTTATCAGATGTAGGTTTTGGATTTTCTTGAAACTTGCTCTAAATGTTGCCTATATGGTAGTTTACTTCAGAATGGATTATTAGATCATTATAATAATTATATCAAAAGTTATAAACAATTAAAAATGTTCAAAAATTTATATCCCCGCAACCATTTAAGTTATCGATACGAATTCTTTTATTAATTATGCGTAAAAGGGTGTACTTTAAAGATATTAAGTGAACAATACTTTAATATCAATTTTTCCAAAAGTTATTAACATCTTGTTCAAACAATTAGCCATATCTCAAAAAGTGTTATTTTTATTTAAAAAATTCTTTTTCTATTGAATTCTTAAAAAAAAAAGTCAAAGAATTCAATAGAAAAAGAATTTTTGAAATAAAAATAACACTTTTTGAGATATGGCCCATTGTTTAAACAAGTTGCTAATAACTTTTAGAAAAATTGATATTAAAGTATTATTTACTGAATATCTTCAAAGTACACCCTTTTATGCGTAATCAAAAAAAATTTGTTTCGATAACTTAAATGGTTGCGGAAATTTTCGTTAGAAATTTTCAATGGTTTATAACTTTTGATATAATTATTATAATGATCTAATAATCCATACAGAAGTAAACTACCATACTCGTATAGGCAAGATTTAGAGCAAGTTTCAAGAAAATCCGAAACCTACCCCTGATAAGTTGATTATCATAATCTAGAATGTGCCATATAATCATAAATTAATATGTTATTTTTAACATATGTTGGAGAAAAAATTATGTTATTACATCTCAGACAAAGAGATAAGATTAAAAGCTTGTTAAAATACGATTTCATTCGAAAATGTTAAACATTTTTCCGTGCATAAAGATAAATATGCATTCAGATAATAGTCGAATGAGTTTCCGTTGATCCTGATTTATATATCGAGCACTAGATGATCGTTATCACATATTCAGACTATTAGCATATGTAGTAGTGACTATAATAAATTCATAAAAAGGTTTTATAACGCGCTTTTTGAGAAACGATTCCTCTATTTTTGCTGAAAAGACATAGGTCAGAAAGATAATGTGACGGCTAGCCGTAACTTAGTTTTTTTTTATTTAATTATTAAATATGACGAACGGAGTGGGAACCTTCCTGATTTCCCACAATGAAAACGCATTCGAAATATAAACTTTGATAGTGGCCCGAGCCTGCGTACTCAAGATTACAATCAACGCTCTATCCTGCTTTGTCCCACACGCATGTGTTGACAGGGGCCTACGATCATCGCGTATACATCGTGAAGTGTTATCACGCTGATAATGGAAGGGGACCATAAAAATACAATCTATCTTTTTTTTTCTTTCCCACCGATTTTTAAGAAAATATCCGTAATATTGTATAGATTTTCATCAATTTTGTAAACCATTATAATGCGCATCTTTTTGTCACCGAATAACCAATAAATAGAACAATAATGTATTTTATAATAAATCGTAAAAGGTTTGAATTTTTCTGAATGTTTATAATAGTCACTATGTATCGTCATAATTAATTAAGTTTAGTACAATTATGTATAAGTAATTATAAGCTATAGCGTTACTCTTGCCATTAAAAGTGGCACTCCGAGAGCTATCTCTGGAGAAAAGGGCCCAAGTTAAAAAGGGACCGCCCTTTCTCTCTCTGAAAATTCACGCCCACAGACCAATAAAGAAATTCTGGATATGATTAGAAAATTTCCCACCAATACAAAATTTGGCCGTTATCGCTTCATGGACCTGAGGAAAGGGATTTCCACCCAACCACCCACGGCTTATAAAAAGCTCTGTACAAGGCTGGAGAGTAAGTCAGAGGAAGTTAGAGTAAGAGCGGAGTGAGCACCAGGAAGTCCCTAATAAGAAGTATTTACCAGTGAGTGAGTCCCGGAGGAAGCATCAAAGAAGAAAAATCACCCAAGTATATTCAAAGCATATAGAGAGAGAAAGAGGCCAAAGAGCAGAGAGAGAACGCAACTTTAATAATAAGTGATTTGATAAAATAAAAGTAAGTAAAATCTTAAATCTGGCTATCCTTTTCTTTCTTTAAGTAATCCGCCTTTCTTTTGGAAATTCATTAAGCGTGAGTCTGGTGAATTTCCATTAAAGTCCCTTAAGAACACATTAAGCGTAAGTCTGGTGTGTTCGTAATAACATTTGGTTATTACATTCCGCGTTAGCATACAGTTTTCTCAACGCAACAATATTGCTCGTCCCGGCTTATGTGTTACACGATAGCCAAATCAGAGCAACCCTGAGTTTACGCTTACTCCAAGCGTACCTGAGAGTGACCCCGACGTCACATAAAAATTTTGGAGGCCCCGGAGGGATTAAATTGTTGCAAAGAAAACTGTTAGGGTTTTCCTTTCTTAAATTATATCAGTGATCAGTTAGAGTAAAAGAAAATTAAGAATAGATACTACTTAAAGTATTTTGTTGAATTTGAAATCTGTGAAGAATAAAATAAAGTAATAAAATTTTTTTTTTTGAATAAGAATACAAATTTATTAGTCAGAAAATCACTGATTTAATTGAGAAAATAGAAAATAAGTTTTGTGTTAAACAAGGAGACAGCTTAAATTGAAAGTGAAAATGAATTGGAGTTTATTTGGATTGAACTTAGGAAAATTTTGGGAAAATTAATGAGAATTTATTTTGTAATAAAGAATAGTGAAATAATTTAGAAAATTATTGAAATTTGAATGAGTAAATTAATAGAAGAGTTAGAGAAAAATAAAGAAAATTAAGTTGTTTAAGAAAAGAGTTTGAAAAGTATTTGAAATTTAAAAAAAAGTTTTCAGAGAAGAATCATTTTTTATGAAAATAAAATTATAAATCAGAATAGAAAATTTGTCCAAAGAAAAGTCTTCTTTTGTGCCTTGAAGAGAGAAATAAGAATAAATGCTTATTACAGAAAAAGGAGGGTTTTGAATTTATGTTTTGTTCTAAAAATTGTATTTAGAAATAAAAAGGTTAATTTAGAAAGATCGAAAATAACATACAGAAAAAATTTTGAGATAATATTACGAATCTTGTCTGAGTCGGAAAGAAATACATTAGCAATAAAAATTAATTAGAGAAATTAGAAATCCTGCGGAAGAAAATTTAAAAATAAATAAATAAATAAAACTCGGAGTAAAAATAAAAGAGTTTTAGAATATTGTGTTTAAAAGAAATTTAGGAAATCTTGCTGAGAAAAATAATATAAAAGTAGAAATTTTGAAATAAATAATTTTGCAAATTAGAAAATTTAAATAAGAAAATTGCCTGTTATAAGTAAAATAAATAATTTTAAAATAAATAGTATTAAAGAATGAAGGGTTTAATTAAGAAAGTTTAAGTAAAAATAAAGATAAATATCTTTTTGTAAGAATCAAAATTTATATTTAAGGAATGAATTGCCGTAATATCTGTAAAAATAAGATTTTGATAAAACGTTCACATACAGTTTTCATAATTCTACAAACGAATAAGTTTTAATAAAATTTTGTTGTTAGATAGATAAGATTTTTGGTCTTTCTTTTAGTTGTAATGCCACCGTTCGTAAGTTTTAATACTTTTTCTAACGACATAGTCGACACGGTAGATGAATTAATCGAAGACATTACACATTTAAAGGACAGTCAAATATCCGTAATTAATAGGGTTAATAATCATAGCTCCGATATCACAAGAATAAACAATAACGGTCGTAGTCTTAGCGCACGTGTCGCGAAACTTGAATTAGAGAATAAATATAGAATTGAACAAATAGCTAGTTTGGGAAATATTTGTGTAGATTTAATCAAAACAAATACTGCCCTAAAGAAACAAGTTAAAAATCTTAGGAAGCAAGTAAAAATTAATAACAAACTAATTAGTAGGAATACGATTTCAAAAAGGGCTTTAGCAAATAAAGTAGATAAATTAGCAAAGTCATTTGAAAATTTACAATTATAAGTAAAATAATTCGCGATAATCCTTAGTTTATACACAGAAATAGATAAGGTTTTATTACAATAAATTAGATTGAGATTTCTAGTAAAAGTATATGAAGTTCAGACTTTTTTTTAAAATCATTCTAATTATTGAAATATAGTATTAATATAAGTTTGGTGTCTTTGTTTCGATATTGTTCTAGTGGAACTAGGATATAGAACAACTAGAAAACGGCTAACTAAAACACAACGAAGAGCTCTCGGGAGAGAGATTCGAAAGCACGAGTTAGGATTGCCAAAGGACAAGTATGAAAATGGATTAAAAGAGATATCTAAGCAGAATAAAATAGAGTTAGCTCGACCGATAGAGATTTGGTCAACACCAAAAGACGAGGTACAGGGTCCACCCAAACAACCTGCACCTTCATCAAGTAACTCGCCTACAATATTAGAAGAAAAAGTCACTCAATTTCGAAGATGTTTATGTCGACATTTTGTTATCCCGGAAAAGTGTGTTCGTTGTCAACAAACATTTAGGAGGGAATACAAAATACCGTTTTGTGAAAATCAAAGATTAAAAAAAAAGCATAACATTAAAGACGCTGTTATTAAAATTGCAAAAAGTGACGAGAAACTTAAAATACTGAAGGATGGTACAAAAGTAAACCCGGAGGTTTACGAAGTTTTACAAAGATCCTTGCGCGCGATTAAAAAAATTAAGATACAAAAGAAATCTTCAGAGCCTCCTTCTATCCCCAAAGCTCTTTTGAGTCCGCTTTTACCACTGATAACAAAAAAGAATGTAAATTGTAAGGCTTCTCCCAATTTATCCTCTGCTAGTGAGCCGATATCTAGAATAGACAAATTTTTCGGATTAATAAAAGATTATAAGAATTCCTTAATTAAGTTGTAATTACTTAACAATTTGTCAACATAAAATTATGTAAAAATATATAAATACCTGTAATATTTAGCAAAATAAAACACCAAATAAATTTACACCTTCTAGTACAAATTTCATTTTTTTTTCTCTTCTCCCTTTGTCTGACATATATAAATGCACATAAGTATATTTATTAATGAGCGAAAACAAAGATAA